AAAAAAAAAAAAAAAAAAAAAAAAAAAAAACTCATAATAGTTATCATGAGCTATAAAGTACCGATATGAATTAAAAATAATTTCAAAATGAAATGATTCGGGTCATGAATAGTAGGGAACGCGATAATTTCCGATGGGTCTGGTGAGTCATGAGTCGTGACTACATCAGAATTGGCGATAACGGCCCCACTACCCTCAATCATTGTTTCTTGATTCAATTTGACACAAAATATATAATTAAATAGTAATATTTCGGCCACCGCACGTATTTGTTAAATAAAGTTTTCATTTTTGGGGCGCATCCATTATTTTGCCTTTCTTTTTATCATTACCTCTTACAAGATAAAAGTTTTATTTGATAATTCTCAATTTGGTTTTATAAATAAACTAAAATTTTATTTATAAAGGTAGATAAAATCATTTTTATATTTATAAATTATGAACATCAAATCAAAAGTCATTGAAAATAATTAACTTGATATATCATTTATAACCGAAACACAAATAATTTTGTCAATAAATTATCAAAGGTAAGAAGAATATATATTTATAATAACTAATATATGAATTAAATAAAAAATAATATATGTTTATTTAAGAAATTAAAGGTAATAAATGATAATTTAATAAAAGGGAAGAAAATAACTTTATAATAATTTTCAAGTCTAAACCTAAATAAGTGTCGGTACGAAATACATATATATATCAAATAAGCTCTCAGAAACTTGTGAAATTGTCATTTATACTCGTCACGTTGTGAATATACATATATAAAAATCTACTTATCGCACCAAACCAATTTAAATTAAATAGCCGTGGTAACTCACAAAGAATTTCATTAAACAAATGGGAATCGAAAGATGAGCTATATAGTTGTAAAATTAAATGATTAAATTCTTAAACGGCGATTTTCAGCAACCACAAATTAAGTTACTTGTGTTTATAAGCAGTTAATCGTTTTTTCTTTTTTTTTTTCAAAAGTTACAATTTTTCATACATTGGATGAGTTTTTAAAAGTTGACTGTTGGAAATATGTTATTCTCACAAATAATGATAATATAGATTCTTGAGAGTCTTCATGAGGTAAGCAGGTTAACCAGGAGAATTCTTTTAGGCTCATGTCCATCCCAAAGCATCCAACTCCAACTGAGTTGTCCTTAGATAATGAGGCACTGACACTAATTGAAAGTTATCCTACCCTAGAAAGAACTGGTTCCAAATCCAACTGAGCAGGGATGTTATGGGGATTGTGAGGCTATACTTGAGGTTGATCTTCTAAGAGAAAGGAGGCTGAGAAATCAAGCCAGTCTCTTTCTGCAAGCTCCACCACCATTCTCTCTTCTGTCCATTTTCCTTCAAACATCCAAGTGTTTCTAGTCTTCCATAACCACCACAGTAGGTAGGTTGAAAGACTTATTCTGTCTTGGAGTAGGCTTTCCACTTTTTT